AACACAATAACATACATAATCCAGACTCTCTGTGTATTTTCCATCTTTATAAGGCTTCTTCATATTACTTTTATTTTTTTTATATGGGATTTATTTTTTTTATTGCGAAAAGGAAAAAAAATAAGTTTCTGCCTCCTCCCAGCCTCCCATTTCCCTCCCCCTTCTTCCACCCTTCTCCCCCTCCTCCCACCCTTCTCCCCCTCCCCTCACTCCTCTCCCCCTCCCTCTCCAGTCCAAAGAGAGGTCAGGGTTCCCTGCCCTGTGGTAAGTCCTAGGTCCTCCCCCCTTCGTCCATATCTAGGAAGGTGAACATCCAAACTGGCTAGGCTCCCACAAAGCCAGCACATTAAGTAGGATCAAAACTCCGTGCCATTGTCCTTGGCTTCTCATCAGCCCTCATAGTTCGCCATGTTCAGGGAGTCCGGTTTTATCCCATGCTTTTTCAGTCACAGTCCAGCTGGCCTTGGTGAGCTCACAATAGATCAGCTCCATTGTCTCAGTGGGTGGGTGCACCCCTCGTGGTCCCGACTTCTTTGCTCATGTTCTCCCTATTTGTTTCTTTAACTGTCCATACCCATTTTCTTTTTTATCTAAAGCCTACATGCATTTTTAAATACACTGTGACACATTCAGAGGGTTATTCTGTCTGAATCTGTATTTATTGTGTACCTGTAATCTTTTTTGATCACAATTGTAAACTGCAGAGCAGACAGTCATGGTTCTGAAGAAGTTGTGAGTTCTACATCTTGATCTGTAGGCAGAAGTGACTTGACACATTAGCCAGACTTGTGTTTCTGAGACCAAAAGACCAACCTCCGAGAGACACACCTCATTCAATAAGGACACACCTACTCCAGCAAGGCCATACCTCCTAATAGTGGCCCATGGGAGCCATTTTTATTAATACCACCACATTCTATTCCCCGGCCCCCACATGCTTAAAGGCTTATCATAATGCAAAATGCATTTAGCCCAACTTCAAAAGTTTCCATAGTCTAAAACAGTCTCATACTTGTTTAAAAGTCAAGGTCTAAAATCTCTTCTGAGACTCGTAGAAATCTCTCAACTATAGTCCTCTGTAAAATCAAAATTAAAAGCAGATCACATATTTTCTTATATCCTTGACTCTAAATGTCAGAATCACGTGGCCAAACTGCCAAGTTTTACTGCTTGCTAGGGCTGGCACATGCCCCTCTCATTCAGTTACATCTATACCTGCTTTCTGAGTTAAATGGTTTTCTTCACTGCCTAAGCTTGGCTGTCCTGAAACATTCTCTATAGACAAGGTGGGCCTCAAATTCAGAGTCTATCAACCTCTGGCTCTGGAGTGCTGAGATTAAAGGTGTGCACCATCATATCCATCCCTAAGCTTTTCCTTAATTCTTTTTTACAAGTGGGAAACTTAGCCAGGTAAAATCTTGTCCTGAGGTCACAATTCCCTTTATCCCACCTTTTAATCAATTTATCTCCTTAAGCACAGGACTTAGCTCCATTCCACTTCCTGGTGCTCCTTTTCTCCTCAGTTTGCTCCTTTTCCCTAGAGATCTTTATATGCATGAACACCGGTAATGGGAAATTAGATAGATAGATAGATAGATAGATAGATAGATAGATAGATAGATAGATAGATAGATTTTTTGATATCTCCTCTGCCAGTATAGGTAATCCAAATTTTTTCATTTTAGCATCAGGACATCAGGTAGACTCTTTGGACAAGGGCAAAAGGCAGCCATATTTTTGCCAAAATACTGCAAGAATGATCTCTGTCCAACATAGTAAAAATCCCCCACAGTTAAAATCATTCTCAGCACAATTGTCCTCCATGTTCCTACTATATGGCCCATTAAGCAATCTATAGCTTTCCTAATCCAAAGTAAAATTCCTCCAAACAAAAAATATGGTCAGGCCTAATACAGCAATACCCCATTCCCTTGTACTAACTTCTGTCTTTGTCAGGATTTATATTGCTGTGTAAGACACTGTGATCACAGCAATAGTTAATAGGGGTGGCTTACATTATCAGAGGATTAGTCTATTATTATCATGGTGTGACATGGTGGCATAAAGGCAGATATGGTTTTGATGAAGTAGCCTAGTCTCCTATGTCTTGACTTGCAGGCAGCAGGAAGTGATCTGAGACAGTGGATGGAGCTTGAGCATATATGAGACCTCAAAGCCCACCTCCACAATAGTACACTCCTAAAGCAAGGTTATACCTACTCCAACAAAGCCACACCTCCAAATAATGTTATTCCATATGAGCTTATGAGAGCCAACAGCTTTCAAGATACCACACTCTGCCAATGCAATAAATTTAAATTTCTTCATTTTAGCCCCAGGCAGACTTTTTGGAAAAGTGCAAAAAACAGACATATTCTTTGGCAAAATATCACAAGAACAGTCTCTAGGCCACATACTGAAATTCTACCCATCTGAAACATCTTGAGCAAGATTTCTACAGTTCAAATCACCCTCAGCATCACTCTCTTCCATGCTTCTACCAGTATAGCCCATTAAACTGTTCAACTGATTTTCTAATATAAAGTCCCAAAATCAAGATTCTTCCAAAGAAAAATATGATCAAGCCTATCAGAGCAAGACAACAGCCCCTGGTACCAACTTCTGCCTTCATTAGGATATTTGCTGCTGTGAGGAGACACCATGCTGACACTTACAAAGGAAAACATTTCTTTTGGGGCTTCCTTACAGTTCAGTTTTAGTTCATATTCTCATGGTGGCATGAAGGCAGACATGGCACTAGAAAAGAACTGAATCTTGATCTTAAGGCAGCAGAAGTGACTGTAACACAATAAACAGGCTTGAGTTTCTGCAATCTCAAAGCCCACCACCTAGTGACACACCTCCTCCTCAAGTCACATGTCCTCAGGCCATGCCTCCTAATAGTGCCTCTCCCTATGAACCTATGGGGTCGTTTTTTTAATTTAAACCACCACAAATTCTAATAATAAATGCAAGTATGAAAAAATATTTCCTATGGTTAAAAACCTGAAGTGATAGAGTTCTAGTAACTTGCTTAGGCCTATTCAGATAAATGATAAAGTCAGAATTTCAACTTATGTGATATTAATCTGGGACCCTGAGTTAGCTACTATGCATGCTACCACTTATTCTCTTTATAGTTTGCTTATCTTTAGGTAAAACTTGGGTTAATATAGCATATGAAGTTGTTATAAAATTCCCTTGGCTTCACTCTTCAATAATACTGTTTTCCTCAACTCTTTATTGTTCAACAGCAATTCTGCATATGATATCTGATATATGTCCTTAATACCTTTATGATTTTAGAGAAATCCAGGTCATTATTCACAAGGTAGTTATACCATTTTAGTAATTTGAGAATCTAGATAAGGCAGAGATTACTACTAAATTTGCCCATGTAAAAAAGGTCTTACAGTATTTTTATATTGTTGTCACTATTTAACTGTTTGTTTTCCTATATTACAGTACTTTGTAAGTATCTCTTTGAGTACAGAAACAGAGAACTCCTACATCTGTCTCCAGAGCTACACATTAAATAGAACTTATAAAATTCCTTTATATTTATCTGAGAATATACAACTTCATATTACCCTTGACTTTGCACTGAAGAGTAAGGGCCACAAATATCTCTTCGGTGGTTAGGATAGGAATGGCCCCAATAGATCCATGTGTTTAAATGCTTGGCCCATAGGGAGTGGCATTATTAGGAGGTGTGGCCCTGTTGGAATACAGGTGGCCTTGTTGGAAAAAGCGTATCACTCTAGGGTGAGCTTTGAGGCTGCAGATGCTCAAGCAAGGCCTAGGTTAACATTCACTTCTGCTGCCTTTAGATAAGCTGTAGAACTCTCAGCTCCTTCTCCAGCACCATGTCTACTTGCATGCCACCATTTTTCCTAATATGATGACAATGAACTAAATTGTTGACTGAGGTTTTCTTTGTCTTGCCCAGTTCCTGCAATTGTTAAGTCCCAAAGAAATCATGCAGAGATCTATATTAGTTATAAACTGATTGTCCCATTAGCTCAGGCTTCTTATTAACTCTTATAACTTATATTAACTCATTATTCTTGTCTATGTTAACCACATGGCTCGGTACTTTTTTCAGCAAGGCAGTCACATTTTGCTTCTTCTGTGTCTGGGTTGGGACTGCAGAGGAATGGGCTTCCTCCTTCCGAGAATTCTCCTATTCTCCTTGACCCGCCTCTACTTCCTTTCTGGTTGTCCCACCTATACTTCCTGCCTGGCTACTGGCCAATCAGCATTTATTTAAAATATAATTGACATAATACAGACCATTCTCCCACACCACTAAACCTCTGAAACTGTAAGTCATAACTAATTAAATGTTGTACTTCATGAGAGTTGCTGTGGCCATAGTGTCTCTTCAAAGCAAGCAAAAATTTTAACTAAGAAAATTCAGTGGACTTCTTAAAATATGAAAGAAAGTTACTTCCTCTTTATAAAATGGCTATTTTGTTTCTACCATATAAGGAAAATTAATCTATCTTTAACTTTTTCTCTGTGTAGTATTAATAAATACATCAATTGATTCCACTAATGGAGGCTTTGGAAATCTGGCAGGCAAGAATTCTACCACTGAACCACCAATGCAGAAATCTGGAACTATTCTCCATTTCCCTAAACTTTGGAGAAGAAAGCAACCAGATGAAATTTGCAAAAAATAGAAAATAATATCAAATCAAGCCTTAGAGAAGACAATCCTGCAAAAATAAATAAATCTCTGGGAAGATATCATCATTATATTGAGCATTCTTAGCATAAAAGTCAGATTTGCTAATAAAATCATCTCAGAATGCTACATAATACAAAGTAAATGCTTCCCCTAAAATGCATTTATTGTTTGCTTAGGGTTAAAAGATTATGGATGACAATTGCAGCTGGAAGACAGTTGCTTTAGACAAATGTAGATCTATCTGATTTCTGCAATTTCCCACTCACATTTTTACTGGTTCTGAATTTGCTTCATTTATGCAGGTGTAATGGATGAAGAAAGACTACTCATTTACAGACTCGGTGTTGTGTTCATATGCCTCCTTCATATGATAACACTGCGGGCAGGTATGAATCTCCCACTTCCCTTCATGGACCTTATAAATATCAAGTTTGTAAAGAAAGAAAATGTTACAGGCTCTTTTGCCAACTTGATGAAATCTATAATAACTTGGGGACAAGCCTCCGGTACACCCATAGGAGATTATATTAAGTAGGTGAACTGAGGTGGGAAGACTCTTCTACTATGAGTGGTTCAGTTCTCTGGGATGGGATGCTGGATTGTATGAAAAGGGATGAACACAAGCACTCATTCCATCTTTGGTCATTTATAAAACCAGTTCCAATTATAGAAAATGTTTTAATTTAAGATCTAAAACTCAGAAACAGATTTTTAGATTTAAACACAGGCAATGACTTTCTGAATAGATCTCCAACAATTCAGGAAATAATGCCAGGGTTGTATGAAATTAAAATGTCTCTGTACAGGAAAGAAAACATCAATTTAATGAATTCATACAGTATAAAAGAAAATATTTTCTAACTCTACATTTGACAGTGGATAATATATAGAATACATAAAGAACTCGTAAAACTATATATCAAGAAATCAAAAAATCCAATCAATAAATAGTCTAATTAAATAGAAAGTTCTGAAAATAAAGTATAAATAACCAATAAAGTTATGAAAAATTTTAACATGATTATCAGAGAAAAGCAAATTAAATTACAATATGATTTTATTTACCATTGTTAAAATGCCAATCATTAAGAAAACAGATGAATGCTAGCAAAGTGTAGAAAAAAGTGTGTTATACAGTACTGGTCACAATCTAAATTAGTTTAGACACCATCGATATCAACATGTAGGTTCTAAAACAAATCAAAACTAAAGTTCATCAATGATATTATTGAGTAGTACCACCCTTGCATATTTATTTAAAGGATTCTTTTTTTTCTTTTTTTAATCAATTAAATTTAAAATTAAACAATTTCCGCCTCCTCCCAGCCTCCCACTCCTCCCCCCCCCATTCCACTCCCAGTCCTCCCACTCCTCTCCCTCTCCCCCCACTCCTCTCCCCCTCCCTCTCAAGTCTGAAGAGCAGTCAGGGTTCCTTGCCCTGTGGAAAGTCCAAAGTCCTCCCCCCCCCCATCCTGGTCTAGGAAGGTGAACATCCAAACTGGCTAGGCTCCCACACAGCCAGAACATGAAGTAGGATCAAAACCCAGTGCCATTGTCCTTGGCTTCTCAGCAGCCCTCATTGTCCGCCATATTCAGAGAGTCCGGTTTTATCCCCTGCTTTTTCAGTCACAGTCCAGCAGGCCTTGGTGAGCTCCCAATAGATCAGCCCCACTGTCTCCATGGGTGGGTGCACCCCTCTTGGTCCTGACTTCCTTGCTCGTCTTCTCCCTCCTTCTGTTCCTCATTGGGACTTTGGGAGCTCAGGCAAGTACTCCAGTGTGGGTCTCTGTCTCTATCTCCATCCATCACCAGATGAAGGTTCCGTCCAGATGGAATTCCTCAGCCTATTTAAAGGATTCTAAGTCAACATACTGCATTGTTACTTGTACACCCATGTCCACTGCACCACTATCTATAGTAGCTATGGAGCTGACCTTTGTGTCCATCCATAGAAAAATACATGACGAAAAGGATATTCAACTATATAATAGAACAAAATGTCATTTGAAGGAAAATAGATTCAATACATTGATGCAGACAATACATTTTAAGCAAATTAGTTCAGACAAAGAAAGACAAATACTGCATGTGTCTTTAATTCGTGAGTCCTTATAGTGGCATTTCAATTTTATTTTAATAAATAAAGCTTTCCTGAATTTCAGAGAGCAAAACAGCCACACTAGTCAGCCTTACAGACCAGGCTGCAATAAAACACACCTTTAATCCCAGTGCATGCCTTTAATCCCAGAACTAGAGAGGATTATAAAACAGGAGGAGACAGTTCTCCATCTCAGTCTCATTCTGAGATTCCTGGAGGCAAGACCACCATTTCAGAATGAGGTTGAGGTAAGAGCCAGGGGCCGGCTGTTTTGCTTTTTGAATCTTCAGGTTGAACCTCAATTTCTCTCTCTAAGATTTTATTAGTTGTGTTTCAAGTTCTCCATTTTAGATAGATATCAAAAGATGTTTTTGTAAATTTATAGCATGAAAATAGAAGTCAAACTAAGGGGTTGAAGACAACAACAGGAGGAGAAGAGAGAGAAAAGTATTTCTCCACACATCCCATCACCCTTGTCACAAGTCAAATTTACCTATTATTTGTGTCTCTAAACTGTTCCATTGAGATCTCTTCTTATGGACCAATTTGAGATTATAAGAAAATTCACTGAATATATACAATAAATTTTGAGATCTTGTAGAGATATTCTATACTTAACGGGGTGTGGAAGCAGAAATTTCCCTAAGAAGTTCATAGATATACTGTGTGTGTGTGTGTGTGTGTGTGTGTGTGTGTGTGTGTAATACAGAAGAGGCTGTGTGTTTCAGAAGGATAGGAAGAGCTGTATAGTGAATGAGAGTGGTAGAAATGATGTAAATATGGTATATATAAAGAAAAAAATTAATTTAAATTTTTTTGTTTCCTATATTCTCTAAGTTTTTTATTTATTACGGAACTCTTTAACTCTTTTTTTTAGTTTTACCAGCAAGATACACTCACTCACACACACACACACAAACACACACACATGCATACATACACACATGAGCATGCACACACACACACCCTACTGAGTACATTTAGTGGTGCTCATATGTATGGGTATTTAAACTGACCACTTGGGAATGAATAGCCTATGAGGGGCTGATTCATGGAGAAGACTGGTTCTTCACTTTCTTGACCACCATTGATTTTTTTTTTTTTTTGTAGCTCTTTATCTAAGGGTGAATGAAACCTAATGAGATTCCTCGCTTCCACAATAGCATGCCAACCTGCATTGCCATTACATGGGTCCTGTTTAATTGACCACATTGTTGAGGTTTCATGGGCACAGTTACCCTCTCATAAGGAAAACACCATCTCACAGCGAACATCCTAGTCCTCTGATTTCTTTTTTTTTTCTTTTTTCCTTTTTTTTTATTTTTATTTTTATTTTTTTAATTTATTTATTAAAGATTTCTGTCTCTTCCCCGCCACCGCCTCCCATTTCCCTCCCCCTCCCCCAATTAAGTCCCCCCCCCCAGCCCGAAAAGCAATCAGGGTTCCCTGTCCTTCTACAGTTATACCACCCACATTCTGTGATGTCCCTTAAGCCATGTGTGTAGGTGTTATTTTGTAGATGTATTAATTGGAGCTGTGCACCCCATAGTTAGTTGTTCTTTGCATTTTGACAAATTGAGAATTTCAGTAGTAGTTTCAAATGCTTTAAAAGGAAGTTTTGCCTTTATATTCAGTATATTTGATCATATTATTCTCCCTCCCAACTCCTCTCAAATTCCCATACATCCTTTACCTACCTGCATCATTCTCTTCTCTCTCTCTCTCTCTCTCTCTCTCTCTCTTTCTCTCTTTTTCAAAAAAAAGTCAAACAGAAATGACTCAATCAGCAGAGTTCTTGCCACAAAAAGTTTTGTATAATAGGAGAAAACTACACTTATATAGAGATATGAGGATATGTCTTTTAGAATACAGTAATACATTATACTAGTTTAGGAAAATGGCAGTAGTAGGTTGTTAAAAACAAATTTGAACATGCAGTAGATAAGAATTTTTCAAAATAAAAAAGTTAAAAATAATTCAAGATTGTGAAACTTAAGCATAAAAACAAACACACACAAGAGCTCATTACAATTACAAAATAATAAATCATAGAATCACTCAGAGAAAGAATGAAATTGAAAGAAAGAAAAGTTAACTACTGAGCTGATATAAATTATCTTAGGAAGTCATATAACAGCAATAGAAATTATACACATTTCATAAGGGAAATAGTTTGATGAGCCACCATTAAAAATATGTAAAATTAAGATTTTTTTTCAGGTATGCTGAGGGAAAATGACCCACAACAAAAGCGTGTTTGTGTGTTGAAGAAAGCTTTTACATTCTGGTTCTTGTTTCTCTTCCCAGAACGATTCACAGTGACTGGATTGGAGGGTCCAGTCTTGGCTCCATTTGGGACAGTTCTTGAGCTCAGCTGTCAGTTGTCACCACCACAGAATGCTCAGCACATGGAGATCCGTTGGTTCAGAACCCACTATACACAGCCTATTCACCAATACGAGAATGGCAAAGACCTGTTTGGAGAAATTATTCCCAAATATGTGGAAAGAACAGAGCTGCTGAAAGATGCTATTGGAGAAGGGAAAGTAACCCTTCGGATCTTCAATGTCAATCCTGATGATGACGGGCAGTACCACTGCTTCTTCAAAGATGGCAAGTTCTACGAAGAGCACATCACAGAAGTCAAGGTCATAGGTAAGCACGGATTCCTCTAAAACTAATTTCTAACTTCATTAAGTTATTTACATAAAAAATGTCCACTTATAAATTATGCAAGATTCACTTATAAATTGAATCTTGGATGGTTTTGTTGATTTTTCATAATCTAAAAACTTAACACAGTTGTTTTGATTTAATAAATAGCAGATATTTTACTGAGAGAAAAACTAAACAAAACAAAGAAGCCTATCATCACCAGACTTCTTTAGAACAATAAGTCTGCTTATTAGAACAATAGTTGATAATTGTGTATTATGATCTCTCCATGTTTACATCTGGTGCTGTCTCTTTTCATTGATTATAACAATTAAAGCCTTGTAGAGTTTTGACTATGCTTATATCTACAGACACTGGATTTAACAAGGAGGAAGAGTGGTATTCTTTTTCTCTTTCCAGCCACTATACACTACTGATTTCCCTTTGTTTATAACCAGCTGGGAGCTCTCAGATTCAGATTATTGTCCATCCTCCTACTACCAAAGGTGTGATAGTGGAGTGTCACTCCAAAGGTTGGTTCCCACGGCCTCACTTGGAATGGAGAGATAGCAGAGGAGAGATCGTTCCAGCTAAATCAAAATCCTATTCACGGGATGAAGACAAATTGTTCAATATGAAGATGACCCTTCTCCTTCAAGACAGCTCCCTCAGGAACATCACTTGTTGCCTTTGGAACCCTCTAATAGGCCAAGAGGAAAGCACAAGCATTGTTCTACCAGGTAAAATTCGTGTAATCACTCTTGAAATAAGTTTTGCATAATTTGTGCTTGAAACAAAAGATGTGTATTTTTTCACTTGGTTTCAGTTCATTACTTTCCCTTAATTTTATTTATCATCTGATCTGTTGTCTGATTGATTTCCCCTGCTAAATTCATTTCTTTCACCATTTTCCTAACACTGGAGATTTTAGTATGTGAGATCCTGTTTTGTTTTGTGTTGTCCTAAGAGTAAAGTGTTGTTTGATATTTTTGATGTTTGGCTAAATTGCTACTCATTTCTTAAAATGTTTTATCAACATTGTTCATTGTAAAGAATATAAATGCTGAGAAACACTTAAAAATATTCAACATCCTTATGCATCAGGTAAATGTAGATTAAAGCTTCTTTGAGATCTCATCCCAGTCAGAATGCTAATGTTAAAAATAAGAATGACAAATGCTAGCATGGATATGGAGGAAGGGGGAAGCTTAATTGCTGGTAGAAGGATCGAAACTGGCAAAACCACTATGGGAACCAGTGTAGAGATTCCTCAAAAAGCTAAAACCAGATCTACCTATGTTCTTTTCATGGATACTTCAAAGACTCTATAAATACCATTATAGAGACACTTGCTTACCCATACTCATTATTGTTTTGTCCACAATAGTTAGGAAATGGAAACAACCTGGATTTTGAAATGTATTTACATAATGGAATATTATTCAACTATTAATAAAAATCAATTAAAGCTGTTTTTATTACTATGGTTCTGTAGTATAACTTGAGTTAGATGTTGTAATACATCAAGCATATGCAACCAACAACAAATTTTGATGTGAAGAAAAAGGCATTGGTAGTAATGTAAATTGTTCTAAGCATTATGGAAATAGGGATTGTGGCTTTAAAAAACTCCAATAGAAATTGTAAAAAACTACAATAGAAAAAAACATGCTAGAGAGATGGATCAGTAGTTAAAGCACTTGTTGCTCATGCAGAGAACCCATGTTCAGCTCCTAGCACCCACATTGTGGCTCACAACTATCTTTAATTCCATTTCCAGGAATTCCAATATCTTCTTCTTACCTTCATGAGCACCAGGCATGCACATAGTTCATATACATACATATAAGCAAAGCACTCATACACATAAAATGAAATAAATATATCTGTTTGAAAAGTCATTCAAAAACTCTACAAATAGAACTACCATATATGAGTTATAATCCAGATGTACTACTTATATATGTAGAAAAAGGACTCTAGAATTACTTGCACATCTATGTTTATTTCATCACTTATAACAATGAAATTGTGAACATGCAAATGAGTAAGCAAATGTGATATGTATTTTACTCATCCATAAAGAAGAATGTAATTGCATCACTTGCTGGGAAACATGCAGCTAGTGATCACATAAAGTGAAATAAGGCAAATTCAGGACAAATACCACATTTGCTGTCATTTGTAGAAACACACACATAAATAAAAGCAGAGGGGATAATGGGATAAGGACTAAGAGTATTGAAAGGAATGGTGAGAGAAGAGGAAGGGAGGGAAATATAAAGCCTGTGATTATGAAATTATCAAATTATGAAACCTGGATCTAAAGGCCATGAATTTAACCAATGTTAAAAAGAAATTATATCAATATATGGTGCAATACATCTTCTTGATGCACTGTTCCCTTTATCCATATACAATATAATATATTTTAATAGAGATAAAGAAATATTCTTAATCTTATAAGTTTTTATTGAATCTCCCTCTTCCAATGTAAGCATCCACGCTGTCCTAGTTTGCCTTCTATGACTATGATAAACACATGACAGAAAGCAACTTGGGGTGAAAGTTTGATTGGATTTACACTCCCAGGTCATAGTCCATCATTAAGAGAAGTCAGAGCAAGAACTCAACTAGAAATAGAGGCAGAAACCATAAAAGAAAGCTGATTACTAGATTGTTCTCCATGACTTAATCAGTTTCCTTTCTTTCTTTCTTTCTCTCTTTCTTTCATTTGTTCATTCTTTCTTTCTTTCTTTTCTCAAAACAGGGTTTCTCTCTGTAGCTCTGGCTGTCCTGAAACTCACTTTGTAGATCAGGCTGGCCTCTACTCACAGAGCTTTACCTGCCTCTGCATCTGCTTCCTGAGTTCTGGGCATTCTTTTTTTCTTATTCAACCCAGAACCAGATGCCCAGAGTTGGCACTGTTCTAGGTTATTCCTCATCAATCATTTTCTCTCTCCTACATGAGTCATTAATCAATAAAATGTCTCAGAGATAGGTCCATGGGTCAGTCTGATGAAGGCAATTCCTCAAACTGTAGTATGGAGAGGCGGCCTGCGTTCCCGCCCAGCTCCTGCACAGCTAGCTTTACACACGAAATAACAACACACAAATTGTATTCTTTAAATACTGCTTGGCCCATTCTCTCTAGTCTCTTATTTGCTAATTCTCACATCTTGCTTTAACCCATATTTATAATCTGTGTAGCACCACGAGGTGATGGCTTGCCAGGAAAGATCTTAACCTGCGTCTGTCTCAGAGAGGAGAGGCATAGCGACTGCCTGAATCTGCTTCTTTCTCCCAGCATTCTGTTCTGCCTACTCCGCCTATCTAATTTTCTGTCCCATCAAAAGCCAAGGCAGTTTCTTTATTAACCAATGAAAGTAACACATAGACAAATGACCCTCCTCCATCACTCAAACAATATCCTTTCCTCCAAGATTACTGTAGTTTGTGTCAAGTTGACACAAGAACTAACCAGCACACCTGCCTTTTCATTGCTTCTGCTCTCTGTGCTTGTAATTTTACCATCATTCAATGAGAGCATTGTCATTGCATGTGTCCTAAGAGTTCAGATAGAACTGAAGCACAGATTTGGAAATGACTGTATTAGCTCCCTGGAAACCTGTGACATCCCTGTGGGGAAAGAATTTTGATTTCCCTCTTACATTATAGTTAGGGATTTCATGAGACAAAAATGATGGAAAAACTTTTAGTCTTTGCACCGACCTCATAGAAATTTGCACATATGATACTTTTCATACAGTTCATATATGCCTCTCCAAACTGGCCTAAATTTACAATTCCAAGATTATAGGATTGGAGAAGACTTGGATATGGCTCTCCTGTTTGGGTTGATTCAAACATTCTGAATTATCTGGGTTGTAAAATTTGTGGTTTTCTATTTCAGATGAAATATTTTCTTGGAATAGTATTTGGTGGTTGATTGTGACTGTAATTCTTATTATGATGGCAGTCTTCATCATAAGTCACAGTTGTAAACTACATATCATGGAAGGTAAGTATGTTTTCAGGAAGAGAGAATCAAAATGGGATAGGAAGAGAAAACTAACACTGTATGACATTTTATTTGGAAGAGTGTCTGCAAGAATATTATCATGGGTCATACATTAGACATATATATTTGTCCATAAAAGTCCCTCTCTTGCTGATAAAAGATTTTTGTGAATGCCTCAATTTATTTGCATCAGTCAAAATGAAACTTCCTATTCCTGTGATGATAGATACAAAAAATTGGAAAGTTTCTTAATATTCAACATTTGTACATCCTTCTCTTTTGACTTCTTCGGAGTTCCATTGGGCTCATTGAGGGTAGAAAGTAAAGATCTAAACTTAACATTGCAGAAATGGCTGCATAGTTTTTATTCAATACAACCCCAGGGAAACTGAACCTATAGGGAGAGGTATACCAGTTGAACTATCAGATGATCTGTTTTCCCAGGAGGAAAAAAAAATGCATTCCTTTTCAACAGTGTTATACTTGGAGGAAGTGAACTTGGAAAGTCACAAAAAAATTAAAATACACATATACAGATGTTCATGTTTTAAAGATGTGCTAATTTTAATAACCTTGAACTGACAGATTCCCTTATAAGCAGCTCTATCTTTTCGGTGCATATTCAAGATCTTTGGAAATTCTTCCACATGCAGCTTAGTTGTTAGTTAAGGATTTGGGTGTCAGCACTTCTATGTTTCTCTCCTATTCCTTGACTTCCCATTTTATTCCCAGCTGAACTCCCTCCCTGAGCTCTACTATCTGAAGTAAAACACCTGGCATTCTCCCAAAGTGCATCTAACTCTTGCAGCACAAAGCCAGACTTGCTACACTTATTTTCTTTATTGCTGTTTGGCAAAAGTAAACTCACACTTAACTTGTTCACTTCTTGACACAATCTAGTTTTTTAAAAGAAGTAGGGCTTTGTTGTTGTTTCCCTGCACCACTGCATGTCCTTCTTCAGAATCTCAGACCCCTCTTGAGAGACTTGTAGTTAGAGACTCTTCTAAGTAGAATTTCACCACCCAAATCCCATCCAATTATTAAGGCTTTATCTCTGGTGCATGTTGAGCCAGCAACATTTTACTCATCTTGTCTTCAAAGTGCTTCTTAGATCTTATAGTAGAACTTAGTCATATCATTGTAAGATGCTAGCAATAATTGAGGCTTAACTATTGACAAACCTTACTCCAAAAGTCTTACAAGTAGTAAGTATTGTAAGCTGTGTTGTATATATTTAACTAAATATTATTACTAAAGAATTATCTATTAAAATTATGAACAAATATAAGATTTATTAAATGTAAAGGTTAAATATTAAAATAGCAAAATTAAATTTTGAACCTAAATCATATGGATACTAATGCTAGGTAAAAGACAATATAAGTCACACAAATACTCATATCTTATACTATATTTATTTAGATTTGACTGTGTCTATAATTTCCTTGCAGAGGAATGAATACTACCTAATTGTGAAACACTTTCTTGTTTTATACTTTTTTTATTTAAAAAACTTTTTTCATTTTATATGCTAACAAAAGTTCCCCCTTCCTCCTTTTCTCCTGCACCCCACTTCCTCCCTTCCCACCCCACCTCCTCCCTTCATACCCCCATCCACTCCTCAGAGGAGGTAAGACCTCCCTTGGAGAGTCAAAAAAGTATCAAGGTTGAGCAAGATATCCCACCATAGGGAAGGGGTTCCAAAAAGCCAGTTCATGCACCCAGGATAAGTCCTGGTCCCACTGCCCGGGCTGCCACCAACAGGTAAATGCACGTAACTGTCACCCACATTCAGAGCGCTAGTTTGGTCTAAAACAGGTTGCCCAGATGTGGAACACTTTCATGAAGAGAAGACAAGCTGAATTCTTCCAATATGATATACACTAAAAAATATTTTAAAGGTCCTTTCATCAGTAAAATTCTTCATTATTTAAAGCCTTTTATTTGACAAGTTACTAGATTGAATATTGTGCTTTGGGGCATTTTCACTCTCATTAACCCTTTGACATCCCTCATAATCCCACTGAATATCTTCTTCACAGGAAATACCCCAGCTACTTTTATGTTACATTTTTGTTTTGTTTTGTTGGGTTTTGAAATCCATTGACTTTAATTTATGAGACGTTATTTCCTGAAGCATGGGAAACTTAACAGTGGCTACATCACTGAAGAAAGTTATTTACCCTTCTCTAGCAACTACCAGCAGCCAGCCACTCATAAGTGTGTGGGGGTTAGGTCTTTTAGGAGAAGAAAAAGCTAACAAAAGTTATTAAGACAGATATCTAAAAAGGTGAAATAGAGGAAAGTGATGTAGACAAGAGCAGAGCAGAACAGAGCTGAGATGTCCTGCTCAAAGGATCTGATCTATTCATAAAAATCAAATGGAACCTGAAAATTGACACACCTCATGCTGGTTTTCATCCAGACTTGCTCACGTTCTTTTCCCACTCCTGGGAATTCCACCATTAGGGTTAGTCCTGTTCTCATTGCTGAGTGTTTCTTTGGTTGACTACATTACCGATACTTTCCTAAGACTATCTTCAGTGCTTCACAGGTGGAATTCAGATCTGGTCACACCTGTGAAAAATCCTTCCAAATTCAATTGTGAATGTTAGCTTCATTTTCATGCAGTTCCTGAACATTACTTGGAATCTGTGTAAAGATTCATCTCTCCAGATTTTCAGCTCAATGAATAATGTTCAGGCCTGATTCATGGTCCACTTTTTTTTATAATCTCATAGTGTTCTGTTTATGGATTTTAGTGTATAGTTCTATATCACTTTAGCATGATTCACCTAGGGTCTTGAGCCACTGAACCACTATGTCTTTTTGAAATGGCATCTTGTTTCTGCTTTATTGATTGTCAGTGTTCAAGCATCCTGTGACAAGTGGAGAATGTTTCCTTACTTCTTTATTACTGCTGTCTCCCTGGGCAAGCCCTTATTGCCTACCTGTATCCAGCACCCTTCAGATCACAATCTTTCTATTTTTCCTAGATTATCTCCTGGAGAGCCAGGCTGATTGTGTCTGAATGGCAAGGACCATCTTCAGGCCTCCTGATGAAATTCTTATATTCAAAGAGTTCAGATCTCAGGCAGTTAACAGTTCTTCAGAATTATCCAATTCCCAGCATCTTTCAGGCTCAGATAAAATGACAATGACAACCATGAACATCATATTCTGTTCTCTACCCCACTGATGGATAGATGAGAGAAAGACAAACATGATCTGTCTTTTCTAAGTATGTTTGTCCTCCACCCAATATCATCTCCATCCTAAAATCAACTGTGCTTTTTGTTCCTGTGGCCAACACTTCTTTGATCTTTTACTTTTTGGCCTTAGCACTGTTTGAAATATAGAAAGATGACATTAAAATGTAGACCTTACCCTTTTTCCTTAATTTAAAGTTCCCACCAACAAATAACCAGTGATTTGAACACTCTCTTTCCTTAGGTCACTGTTGCACATGCCGCTCCCCATGCTTTGTGGCCATGGTGATAACCGCTATTTCTGTTGTTACACTTGGATTACTCTTCTTCAGTTTGAACAAAAAAAATAGAGGTATGTGATGTAAAGAAGATGGTATATTTCTATAAATCTTTTTCCCCAAATGCCTAGTCACAGCTTAGTCAATAGAGACTTATATCAGTCTGAATTTAAAGACGATAGGTTCTGGAACACATCATGATGTTTGAATTCCAGTCTCGGGAGTTTTATGGGTTTAAAGACACAAAGTAATGGTACATCTGCTCCTGAACAGTTTTCTTCAGTTTGGTAATATTATTTTTTTCTTTTTTTTTAAATATTTATTTATTATGTATACAATATTCTGTCTGTATGTATGCCTGCAGGCCAGAAGAGGGCACCAGACCCCATTACAGATGGTTGTGAGCCACCATGTGGTTGCTGGGAATTGAACTCAGGACCTTTGGAAGAGCGGGCAATGCTCTTAACCTCTGAGCCATCTCTCCAGCCCCGGTAATATTATTTTTGACATCACCACTTTACTTAATAAATTAATTTGATCATCCCATATCTTTAGGATAGATATATAATATCTCACAGGGGGAGATAATAATCCAACAGAGTTTAAATGTCTTAAATGACAGATTTCTTCTTGCAATTGATGTCCAAAAAATGACTTGCTCCTCAAAATTACCCACATTTTCTCAGATTTTTTTCCTCAATTTCATGATGAACATTAACACCCATAATGGACTCCTCTTCTCTTTGAGAAGGAAGTTGAAATGGCAATTGTGAAACTTTAGAGATAGCTGGATGTAACTTATTAAAATGTGTACTCTACTTTACCTTTAATTTGCACGATAAAGCATTTAATTAAAATAAGTGCAACTATGCATGAAAAGCCCCACTGCAGAAGTCTTAAATTAGAGGACATTTTTATATTGGTTAGATGGGTTGAAGGCACAAATTGCCTTAAATAAAATTAAGCTGAAAGAGAATTTTGCAGTCATCTTACACTGTGGGTCTACTACATCCACACATAGGCAAATATCTAAGACATTGTGATTAATTAGTCATAAAAGACAACTACTTTACCATCCCATTTTTATCATTATATTCCCACTATTCAATAGTGTACAAGTTTTCCAGCTTTTTAAAAATATTTTTTCTGGTTATCAACACCATGCAGGTATAAAATAGAGTTGCAAGTAGAAAAGTTGTTTGATAGATTAATGTTTCAGTTTGTGAGATTAAAAAGAATTCTGGAAACAGATGGTACTAGTGGTCACATAAAAATATAAACACATTCACTATTCAAATGGAGAAGATAAAAATTGCTAGCATAGTAAAACTGATGTATGTCCATTTTAGCATAACAAATAAATTTAGTGTTAATATCATTTAAAAATTAAAATAAGTCATTGATTGCTGCAAAGTATTTTAGAAAAAAATTAACAAATAATTTGTATGTAAAACATTTATTTTTCACTAGAAAGTTAAGATTAAGCTTCTGTTAACTTTTCTACTATTTTATCAAAGACTGTATATTTATATTGATGAAACACAGCCCCGAGTGGTTGAAGTGCATGTTGCACACTAACATTTGCATAATGCTACTATGAACATAAAGACACAAGTATTTCTTCTAGATTCTGATTTTAATTCTTTGAAGCTGTATACTAAGAAGAGGAACTTCAGAATACTATGATACCTCTGTTTGCACACATTTAATGAATTATTATTCCATTTTCCACAGTGTTCATTTGACAGTTCCACAATTCAATAATGTATAAGTGCCCCAGCTTCTTTTTGGAATATTTTTTATTTAATTTTTAAATTTCATGTTAGATTCCAAGTACAGTTCTCCCTCCCACCCCTCTTCCAGGCTCCCCTTGCCTCCTCCTGCCAGCACACATCCCATCCACTCCACCCAAAGGGTAAGACCTCCCATGGAGAGTCAACAAAGTCTGGCCCATTAAGTTAAGGTAGGATCAAGCCCCTTCCTCCTGCATCAAGGATTGTAATATGAACAGGGGCTCATGAAGGGCCTGCTTGTTGTTTAGAGTTTCGGCCAGGTACCCCACAACTGTTTAGCCCCAAAGAAAATCACACATAAGTCTCCATAAATTATAAGCTGATTGGCCCATTAGCTGTAGCCTCTCATTGGTTAACTCTCACATCTTGATTAACCCATTTTTCTGATCTATGTTAGCCATATGGCTCAGTACCTTTTTCAGTGGAGCTGATCACATCCTGCTGCTTTGGTGATCTAGGCAGGAGTGGGAGGAATCAACTTCCTCCTTCCCAGAATTCTCCTGTTTACTTTGCATCATTCCTACTTCCTGTCTGGTTTTCCCACCTATACTTCCTGCCTGGCCAATCAGTGTTTATTTAAAAAATGATTGACAGAATACAGACAGTTCTCCCGCACCAAGGGACTAGCACAAGCACTCCATCTCACCTTAGGGAATGGACTCCAAAAAGCTAGACCATGCACCAAGGATAGATCCTACTTCCACTGACAGGAGCCCTTTGGAATAACCAAGCTGCACAGCTGTCTCCCACATGCTGAGGGCCTAGTTTGGTCCTATTAGGGCTCCACAGCTGTTGGTCTAGAGTTCATGAATTCCTCCGAACTTGGTTCAGCTGTCTCTGTAGATTTTCCTGCCATGATCTTGACCTTCCTTGCTCATGTAAGCCCTCCTCCCTCTCTTCAGTTTTTTTGCTGGGGCTCAGCCTGGTGCTTTGTTGCAGATCTCTGCATCTGGTTCCATTAGTTACTGGATGAAGGCTGTATTATGACAGTTAGGGTAGGCACCAATCTGTTTAGGGAGGAAGGCCAATTCAGGCACCCCGTCCACTATTACTAGGGGTCTTATCTGGAGTGGTCCTTGTGGATTTCTGGGATTTTCCCTAGCACCCAGTTTCCCCCAATACCTTATGTCTCCTTCTATCAAGACAGCTCTTTTTTATTGCTCTCCCACTCCATCCCTACCCAACCGGACCACTTTGTTCCTTCATGTTCTCATCCCCTATCCCCTTTCCTCTATCACCTCCCTTGCCCCCAGGTTACCCAAGAGATCTCATCTAATACTCCTTTCCAGGGCAATCCATGCATTTCTCTTCGGGTCCTCCTTGTCATCTAGCTTCTCTAGAACTGTGGGTTGTCGTCTGGTTATTGTTTTCTTTACATCTAGTAGCCCCTTATAAGTGAGTACATACCAGGTTTAACTCAAAAAAATCAGTAGTCTGTTATGTAAATGGACCAAATTTTCTTTATTCATTCTTTGGTTGAGAGGCATCTAGGTTGTATCCACGTTCTAGCTATTACAAATAATGCAGCTGTAAACATAGTTGAGCAAATGTCTTTGTGGTATAATTGATCATCCTTTGGGAATATGCCCAAGAGTGGTGTTGCTGGGTCTTAAGGTAGATTGATTCCCAGTTTTCCGAAAAACCGCCATACAAATTTCCAAAGAAGCTGTACAGGTGTGCACTTTCATCTTAATCCACATCCTTTCCACCAAAAGGTGTCACCAGTGTTTATGATCTTAGCCATTCTGACATGCATAGGATGATATCTCAAAGTCATTTTGAGATTGTAGTTTGAGTTGCGATCCTGTATGGTATTGTTTTGCCTATTCTGGGTTTTTTGTTTTTCCACATGAAGTTGAATGCTGTTCTGTCAAGGTCTGTGAAAAATTGTGTTGGGATTTTGATAGAAATTTCATTGAATTTATAGATTGCCTTTAATAAGATTGTCATTTTTACTGTGTTAATCTTACCTATCCAAAAGCATGGGAAATCTTTTCATTTTCTGATATCTTCTTCAATTTCTTTCTTCAAAGACTTAAAGTTTTTATCATACAGGCCTTTCAACTGTTTGCTTAGACTAATCACCAAAGTATTTTGTAATATATGTGGCTATTATAAAGGATAATGTTTTGTGATTTCTTTCTCAACACATGTGTCACTTGTATATAGGAGGACTACTTTGTTTTTAAGTTAGTCTTGTATCATGCCAGATCACTGAAGGTATTTGTCAGGTGTAGGAGTTTCCTGGTAGAATTTTTGGAGTCACTTATATATAAATACATACTATCATATTACCTGCAAATAGTGAAAGTTTGCTTTCTTCCTTTCCAATTTTTTATTGATTTTATTGAGCTCTACATTTTTCTCTGCTCCCCTCCCTGCCTCTTTCCTCCCCTCCAACCCTCTTTCAATGTCTTCATGCTCCCAATTTACTCTTGTCTTTTTCTACTTCCCATGTAGATTAGACCTATGTTTGTCTCTTTTGTGTCCCCATTGTTGTCTAAGTTCTCTGGAATTGTGCTTTGTAGGCTGGTTTTCTTTGCTTTATGTTTAAAAGCTACTTATTAATGAGTACATGTGAAAAATGTCTTTCTGTGTCGGGTTACCTCACTCAAAATGGTATTTTCTAGCTCCATCCATTTTCCTGCAAAATTCAAGATGTCGATATTTTTTTTCTGCTGTGTAGTACTCCATTGTGTAAATGTACCAGTTCCTTTCCAATTTGTAACCCTTTGATCTTCTTTGTTTTCTTAATGCTCTAGCTAGAACTTCGAGTACTTTATTGAATAGATATGGAGAGACTGGATAACCTTGTCTGGTTCCTGATTTTAGTGGAATCATTTGAGTTTCTCTTCATTTAGTTTGGTATTGGTTGTAAGTTTGCTGCATACTGCTTTTGTTACATTTAGGTATGTTCCTTGTATTTGTGATTTCTCCAAGAGCTTTCTCATGAAGGGATGTTGGATTTTGTCAAAGGACTTTTTTAGCATCTAATGAGATGATCAGATTTTTTTCTTTCAGTTTGTTTATATGATAGATTACATTGACCGATTTTCATATGCTGAAATATCCCTGCATCTCTGGGATGAAGCCTAATGGTAGGCCTCAGTCTTGTGGTGATTCATAGATTAATAGAAATGGGTTAATTTAAGATATAAGAGTTAGTTAATAAGAAACCTGAGCTAATAAGCAAAACATTGTTATAATTAACATAGTTTTGTGTGATTATTTGGGTCTGGATGGTGGGGAAACAAAAAAAAATGCAGCCTCCGTCTACGGAAAGTAGGTTTTTTAAAAATTATTTCTATCTGTCTTTTACATCATGTATCTTGATCCCATCCATTTTCCCATCTCCTCACATCCATCCTTTCCCACTATACCCCCAGAGTCCCCAGTAAAAGAAAATTTAAAATAAGAACTAGGAAAAAGTACTAAAGGAAAAAATTTTTAAATCTCATCATGGAAGCTGCAGTGTGATAGTGAGTCATGCAGTAAACCTCTTTGTCCATGTATCTTTATTTGTAAGTGTTCATTGCAAAGACATTGGTCTGGTTCAAGGCCTCTGATTTCTACTACACTGTTGATGCTGGGCTCTCACTGGGACTCTTCCTATATGTTGTCCTGTGTTATGGAGATCCTGAAGTTTTGAGTCTGTGGACCATTTCTCTTCACATCTCCAGATGGTCATAGATGGGGTGGATGATGGGGCAGGCCAAGTCACAAACATGTATTTGGGCCTGGGCATCTGTAGGGTTGGTCTGCCAGATGAGAAATGGGGACAGTTCTCCCACGCTTACAATTTGGTACTGGCTCACCCACACCTAAGCTAACAATGTTGGTTTTCCTGCTCTTATGACCACAGGGACAGCTCTCTCACCCGCCCCAGACTTTGATGGGTAATTGCTGAGGGTGGGGTGAAGGGTAACTCTCACCCAACCATACATCCACAAGACAGATGGGTAATGGGGACACCTCTCTCATGCTTGCAATGTGGGAGCTGGCTCACCCAGGAATGTAGATTCTAATCAACATAATTATGCAGCAATGAAACAATTACCCCTAATTTTTGACATGGGGTGCTACCATTACAGAGAATCATGATAAATTTGAAGATCTGAGAAGGTTTTCCACTCTAACTAGAAAATATATTTTTCATGGATGTTTATGCTATACATGAGCATACTACTTTTGAAAGTTATAATATACCTTCAACTTCAGAGAGTCTTTTCATTCTAAAAGCACAATAATTCACCATACCCTTTAGAAGACCCTGGATTCTTGGGCTCTCTCACCACTTCAGACTCTGGCCAGTCAAAACATGTGTCAAGCTCCTTTGAATAGTATAATGTACATCTGTTTTCTTATAGATTCCTCCAGGTTTAGCCCAAGAACATTCATTTTTAGATTAATCCATGTGACTCAAACTATTTCTTCCCCAACTTCATATATTCAGAAATACAGAACAATTGGCACCAGAAAGGTGAATCGATCTAAATCTGTAATGCGGCCTTCCTTTCTATGCTTTGAACTTCCTAATTCTTGCATCTCCACCCAGTCTTTGTTTCAGATGCGCAGTTTGACTTGGATACTATGTGGTTGGATGACATGACTATGATCCTGAGCATGCTGATGGTGTTTGCCGTCATGCTTATTTTCTCTCTCTACTTCATACTAAGAGGTAAATGTCATGGGGAAGGTGGGGAGCTCAAATAATGGCTGTCTAGATATCCAGGAAATTGACTTCCTGTTCCTTATGTTTTAATAGCTGGATTAAGAAAGACAACAAGAGTTATTTAAAGAATTCTAAATCAGAACCTTCTTGGGACTCCTGGAGCCTCTATTAGCCCCAGTATTAATTCTTTCAATGCCAAGGACATATTGCTCTGACAGTACATTAGGACAATTGTCCCTGATAAACATGGAAAGCCCACTATGGTTTCATCCATTCATTCTCTGGAGCTTCTGGATACTGGGCTCTTTGCCATGTTTACATAATTTCTTCACATTTGGTTTCAAAGTTTGAACTATTCTATCAGAAACATCCTCACTTTATCCAGACAATGCATGCAGATGGCCACGTAGTAAACTCTCTAAAATCACCTGTAAAATATTTCTCCATTAAGTTGATTAACTTTGGTATTTCTTACAATGACGGGAAGCTCACTAACAGAAAAGTGGGATCAGTGTTGTAACAACAATGAATACGTGAGTGTGGCATGCTTTGGAACTGGTTTCTGAGTGCAATTTGGAAAAGTTTGGAGATTCTGGTTCAAAAATCTCTAAAACATTTCTAGGGTGATTCAGATGGGATCTGGGATTCTTACTGAGGATAGCAAAGACTGTGCTCATAGGTGTTTGGGGAGAAAAGGAACTCTTTTGATATCAGGACCAGAGAAGTCATGTTACAATCTGTCATTGTTGACATTTTGTGAATGTACTACTGGCGAACTAATTAATTTTGCAGAATAAATGTTACTGCAGTGCTTTACTGTGGCATGAACTAATGTCCGCCTTTTGTCATTCACAGGTAGACATATGAAAGAAAGCAGAGCAAGTTTATTTTTGAAAAATTGCAGTTTGTGCAAATAAGAATGGGACTTGAAGTTTTGGCCAAGAAAACCATGGCACTGAAGATGCTGGGGTCATTAGACAATGGAGAATTACCTTGAATGCATCTCAGTAATAGGCCACACCCCACACATCACCGACTGAGGGTATTAACTCACAGAAGTGTTTTAGAAGAAATCTTCAGGGTAACCTGTGAACCCAGGGACATAAGAATAAATATCCTTACTTCCTTTAGTCCAGGCATACAGAGACCTCTGCAGACATTATACAAGAGGGTGTACTTATTATTTGAGCTTGCAACATTCTTTGGTGCCACACATGTGATGCTGTTTGGGGCACTGTTACATTAAGTTTTCCTACGAAGATGTGAACATCTATTCACTCCATATTGAGCATCAGGCACAGGCCAAATAAAAATTCCATCCAAGTCCAACATGGTGAGGCACTGAGATTGTTGGTACTTGAGGAACATGAGTAGTAGGCTGCTCACAAGTCCATGAGTGGTCCCTGAGCAGCTTCATCACAGCAAATTCCATTAATGACAACCTCATGAATGTTGCATTAAGTAGCCCCTATTCAGTTAAATTTTCCTTTCTTGTATATTCTAGAGTCTCCCAAAACTATTGTAGCAAGGGTGCGGTAGGAATGAAGGAGGCATAGCTACAATCTCAGATAAAAAGCCTCCTTCCTACGTCTACTGCTGAATGTCAACATCATTACCAGCACCACAGACTTTGCGACCCTCTGTATTGTCCAGGTGAGATCTCTCAAGTTTCCTGACCCAGTCACCTGCTATATTACTTCTCTGTCTATACATCAAGGACCCCACACATCCCTGAAACCATAATCAAAAATAAAGCTTCTTTCGTAAATCACTTTAGATTGTGGCATTTTACCACAGTAATCAAAAGTAACTAATAAAGGTGTTGATTACCAAATTACCAAAGAGTTGGGTATTGCTGTGAAGAATCCTACCCTGCTGGGGTTTGGAGAAATGTGAAAGACTTTGGAACTTTGGACTAGAAAAGTACATGAACCCTATAGAAAGAACTTAGCAGGCCACTCTACTAGGAGCCTGGAAGACAGTGCTAAGATAAGTGTGTTTGAAATAGGCCCAGCTCAACAGCTTCCAGGGGAAATAAAGTCTCTGAAGACAACTGGGCTAAAGGCCATTCACAGAACATTTTGGCATAAAGTCTGGCTATCTTCTGTCCACATCCTGCTAATTTTCATAAGGCTGAACTTAGAAGTAATGGATTCATTTCTTTGGCATAGGAAATTTCAAGGAGTCATAATTTTAGAAATCTATCTCTACTTTTCCCAGAAGCTAACAATTGCCAGTAACTCCAAAACTAAAGATAAAATTTCATGTCCAGTCCCCATTACTTGCTGGGGTTTGGTCTGGTTTAGGCTTGCATAGGTCTTTCTCAGGCTGTTAAAATTTTTGTGAGTTAGTGTATGTAGCTAACCTGCTGTATCAGAATATACTGTTTCCTTGCAGTTATTCACCACTTCTGGCTCTTACATGCTTCTATAGTGATCCTTGATCTCTGAGAGGGAATTGGAGTATAACAACCCTTTAAGGCTGACCATTCCTTGATCCCTGAGAGGGGATTGGAGTATACAACCCTTTAAGGCTGACCATTCCGTAGTTGTTTATTGCCTCTACCTTGTCCAGTTGTGAATCTCTGTGCTATTTATTGTCTACTACAAATCTGAGCTTCTCAGGTGAGTTTTCAGAGATGCAGTGATCCATAATAACAAATCATTAAGCATTGGTTTAATGCTATGTCCATCTATCAGTATTATGGTAGTAGATTTCCCCCACCCCTGAAGTCTATATCCTGTTTAATCACTGGTTCTTTGCCTGATAATGGAGCCAGATATGCCATTCATCTTGTGGATTGGAAACTTAAATCCAGTGAATAAGCGGTTGCTTAATCTTTTGATGTTTGCGCCATTGTTACAGCAGCAGGCCTGCAGGGTTCGCAGCTAGGTATAATTAATGATTGCTTTTACCCTCTGGTAGCATACATGGTACGTTCCAGAACTATGAAAGCTAGCTAACATGGAAGGAACTTTCAGATCTGAGCTGAAAAGACAGCTTGGTCATTAAAGACTACGGCTCACGTTTACTGATTGCTTTACTCTCTCTACATTGAAACTGTTTTTATCGTTGTTTAAGGATATATTCTAAAATAGCCAAGCACCTATTTTTTATTTCATTTAGTTTCAGCATCATCTTGAATACTATATTTGGGTCCATTTATATTTCTGATTGATGTGTTTTAAGGATTTTTTTTCACTTTTAATTGTGTGTATATTTTGTCCATGACTGTGTTCGGGTATGTGCATGTGAGTGCATATTGAAAAAGAATCTTGGAGAGGGTTTTGAATTCTCTGGAACTGGAGTTTACATGGTTATGGACCATTTAACATGGGTACTGGGAACCAAACTCTGATTTTCTGGAAGAGCAACAAATACTCAACTACTGGGCCATCTCTTCAGCCATTCTCATTGATATATTTTAATTCACTCAGGAAATATATAGACTTTGTGATTCATTTTATGTTCACTAATTTGCCTTTCTATAAATCTGGTAGTTATTATTTATGGTGCTATTATATTTACTTTGATACCATTTTATGAAAATTGCAAAAATAATACATAGGTAATATAATTTTAGAATTTTTAATAATTAAGAAAACATTTTATTTTGCTGCTAAACATTAACTATACACAAAAGTACATTATTTGTTCTAAAATACTTTTCCCTAAAGTTTGTATCATTGCTTTTATTGCCTTCAATCATCCTTTCTTCAAAAATAAAATCCTATGTTCAAATTTGAAGAAAATTTGTCAAAAAATTATTTTTATTTTTTTTTTTAATTTATTTATTTATTAAGGATTTCTGCCTCGTCCCCACAACCGCTTCCCATTTCCCTCCCCCTCCCCCGATCAATTCCCCCTCCCTCATCTGCTCGAAGAGCAATCAGGGTTCCCTGACCTGTGGGAAGCCCAAGGACTGCCCACCTCTATCCAGGTCTCGTAAGGTGAGCATCCAAACTGTCTAGGCTCCCACAAAGCCAGTACGTGCAGTAGGATCAAAAACCCACTGCAATTGTTCTTGAATTCTCAGTATTCCTCATTGTCCGCTATGTTCAGCTAGTCCGGATTTATCCCATGTTTTTTCAGACCTAGGCCAGCTGGCCTTGGTGAGATCCCAATAGAACATCCCCATTGTCTTAGTGTGTGGGTGCACCCCTCGTGGTCCTGAGTTCCTTGCTCGTGCTCCGTCTCCTTCTGCTCCTGATTTGGACCTTGAGATTTCTGTCCGGTGCTCCCGTGTGGGTCTCTGTCTCTGTCTCCTTTCATCGCCTGATGGAGGTTAATATTCCTGAGGATGCCTATGTGTTTGTCTTTGGATTCACCTTCTTATTTAGCTTCTCTAGGAACATGAATTATAAGCTCAATGTCCTTTATTTATGGCTAGAAACCAAATATGAGTGAGTACATCCCATGTTCCTCTTTTTGGGTCTGGCTTACCTCACTCAGGATAGTGTTTTCTATTTCCATCCATTTGTATGCAAAATTCAAGAAGTCCTTGTTTTTTACTGCTGAGTAATACTCTAATATGTATATATTCCATACTTTCTTCATCCATTCTTCCGTTGAAGGGCATCTAGGTTGTTTCCAGGTTCTGGCTATTACAAACAATGCTGCCATGAACATAGTTGAGCATATACTTTTGTTGTATGATAGGGCCTCTCTTGGGTATATTCCCAAGAGTGGTATTGCTGGATCCAGGGGTAGGTTGATCCCGAATTTCCTGAGAAACCGAAACACTGCTTTCCAGAGTGGTTGCACAAGTTTGCATTCCCACCAGCAATGGGTGAGTGTACCCCTTTCTCCACAACCTCTCCAGCAAAGGCTATCATTGGTGTTTTTTATTTTCGCCATTCTGACAGGTGTAAGGTGGTATCTTAAAGTTGTCTTGATTTGCATTTCCCTGATTGCTAAGGAAGTTGAGCATGACCTTAAGTGTCTTTTGGCCATTTGAAGTTCTTCTGTTGAGAATTCTCTGTTCAGATCAGTGCCCCACTTTATAAGTGGGTTGATTAGCCTTTTACGGTCTAGTTTCTTGAGTTCTTTATATATTTTGGAGATCAAACCTTTGTCAGTAGCAGGGTTGGTGAAGATCTTCTCCCAGTCAGTGGGTTGTCTTTTTGTCTTGGTGACAGTGTCCTTTGCTTTACAGAAGCTTCTCAGCCTCAGGGAGTCCCATTTATTCAATGATGCCCTTAGTGTCTGTGCTGCTGGGGTTATACATAGGAAGTGGTCTCCTGTGCCCATGTGCTGTAGAGTACTTCCCACTTTCTCTTCTATCAGGTTCAGTGTGTTCGGACTGATATTGAGGTCTTTAATCCATTTGGATTTGAGTTTTGTGCATGGTGATAGATATGGATCTATTTTCATTCTTCTACAGATTGACATCCAGTTTTGCCAGCACCATTTGTTGAAGATGCTCTCTTTTTTCCATTGTATACTTTTAGCTCCTTTATCGAAGATCAGGTGTTCATAGGTTTGTGGGTTAATGTCAGGGTCTTCTATTCGATTCCATTGGTCGACTTCTCTGTTTTTATGCCAATACCAAGCTGTTTTCAATACTGTAGCTCTGTAATAGAGTTTGAAGTCAGGGATGGTAATGCCTCCAGACAATCCTTTATTGTATAAGATTGTTTTGGCTATCCTGGGTTTTTTGTTTTTCCATATAAAGTTGATTATTGTCTTCTCCAGATCTGTGAAGAATTTTGATGGGATTTTGATGGGGATTGCATTGAATCTATAGATTGCTTTTGGTAGAATTGCCATTTTTACTATGTTGATCCTCCCAATCCAAGAGCAAGGGAGGTCTTTCCATTTTCTGGTGTCTTCTTCAATTTCTTTCTTCAAAGACTTATAGTTCTTGTCAAGTAGATCTTTCACTTCCTTGGTCAGGGTTACCCCAAGGTATTTTATGCTATTTGTGGCTATCGTGAAAGGTGATGCTTCTCTGATTTCCCTCTCTGCTTCCTTATCCTTAGTGTATAGGAAGGCAACTGATTTTTTGGAGTTGATCTTGTATCCTGCCACATTACTAAAGCTGTTTATCAGCTGTAGGAGTTCTTTGGTAGAATTTTTGGGGTCGCTTATGTACACTATCATATCATCTGCAAATAACGAAAGCTTAACTTCTTCCTTTCCAATACGAATCCCCTTGATCTCCTTATGTTGTCTTATTGCTATTGCTAGAATTTCAAGCACTATATTGAAGAGGTATGGAGAGAGTGGACATCCTTGTCGTGTTCCTGATTTAAGTGGGATGGCTTTGAGTTTTTCTCCGTTTAATTTAATGTTAGCTGTTGGCTTGCTGTAAATAGCTTTTATTATATTTAGGTAGGACCCTTGTATCCCTATTCTCTCCAAGACCTTTATCATAAAGGGGTGTTGAATTTTGTCGAATGCTTTTTCAGCATCTAGTGAAATGATCATATGGTTTTTTTCTTTCAGTTTATTTATATGGTGGATTACATTGATAGATTTGCGTATGTTGAACCAGCCCTGCATCTCTGGGATGAAGTCTACTTGATCATAATGGATAATTTTTCTTATGTGTTCTTGGATTCGGTTTGCCAGTATTTTATTGAAAATTTTTGCGTCGATGTTCATGAGTGAGATCGGTCTGTAATTCTCTTTCTTGGTTGGGTCTTTTTGTGGTTTTGGTATCAGGGTAACTGTAGCTTCATAAAAGGAATTTGGCAATGACTCTTCTGATTCTATATTGTGAAATACATAAAAAATTATTTTTAATAAATCCATATTGATTCCATCCTTACTGAGTTTAAGATGTGGAGGAGCATATGGATCACAGACCAAATGGACACTCATTGGTACCTATATTGTGACAAAGCTCAAAATCAAAATCAATATTTTTGCCCTGAAACTATATATACACACAAAAACAAAAACAGTCTCAGCATGTTGTATTTATATATTTGTGCATACATATACATATCTGTGAGTGTTTAACAATAATAAAAAAGAAAAAGAGTCTATCAATTTGAGGGGGTGGCATGGGATGGGTTGGAAGGAGGGTACATGAAAAGAGCTAGGGAAGAAAAAGGAGGGAAGCGATGTAATCCCATGTTGATTTAAAAATGTATTTTTAAAAATCTACACTTTTTAGACAGAACAAAATTTGATCAAAAGAACCCCTCAATTGTATGATATATACAAAATCTGTATCCTTCTCTGTTTTTCTTACTACCTGAAGTTCCCCAGCTGAGACTGCAATCTGATCTTAAGGGCTAAAGAAGATTTAAGATTTCATTGCCACAGTTCCTTGGCATAGCATGGCTTCATCTCTGCAACTTTTTTGGTCCAGGATGATTTCTCATGGCAACTTCCTCAGTCCAGGATGATTTCCTCTCTGCGACTTCCTTAGTCCAGAATGCTTTCCTCTTGCAACTTCCTTAGTCCAGGATGATTTTCTCATGCAACTTCCTCAGTCCAGGATGATTTCCTCTCTGCAACTTCCTCAGTCCAGGATGTTTTCTTCTCTGCAACTTCCTTATTCCAGGATATTTTCCTCTCTGCAACTTCTATGTTCCAAGATGTTTTCCTCACTGCAACTTCCTTGTTCCAAGATGTTTTCCTCACTGCAACTTCCTTGTTCCAGGATGTTTTCCTCACTGCAACTTCCTTGTTCCAGGATGTTTTCCTCACTGCAACTTCCTTGTTCCAGGATATTTTCCTCACTGCAACTTCCTTGTTCCAGGATATTTTCCTCACTGCAACTTCCTTGTTCCAGGATATTTTCCTCACTGCAACTTCCTTGTTCCAGGATGTTTTCCTCACTGCAACTTCCTTGTTCCAGGATGTTTTCCTCACTGTAACTTCCTTGGTGTACAATGATTTCCTCTCTGGAACTTTCTAGGGGCTGAGCAGATATATAGATATTTTACTCTGAGAGAGATCTGAATAAATCTAAAGAATCATTGGGTCATACTTTAAAAATCTACACTGCACAAAATTGGAAAACCTAAAAGAAACAGATAATTTTCTTGATAGGTTCTCTTACCAAACTTAAATCAAGATTAGACAAATATTTTAAACAGATCTATAACCTCTACTGAAATAAAAGCAGTCATTAAAAGTCTCCCAACCAGGTATTGGCATAAAAACAGAAGTCGATCAATGGAATCAAGTAGAAGACCTGATTTTAACCCACAAACCTTTGAACACCTGATTTTTGATAAAGGAGCTAAAAGTATACAATGGAAGAAAGAGAGCATCTTCAACAAATGGTGCTGGCAGAACTGGTTGTCAACCTGTAGAAGAATGAAAAGAGATCCATATCTATCACCATGTACAAAACTCAAGTCCAAATGGATTAAAGACCTCAATATCAGGCTGAACACACTGAACCTGATAGAAGAGAAAGTGGGAAGTACTCTACAACATATGGGCACAGGAGACCACTTCCTACGTATAACCCAGCAGCACAGACATTAAGGGCAACATTGAATAAATGGGAATTCCTGAAACTGAGAAGCTTCTGTAAAGCAAAGGACACTATCACTAAGACAAAAAGGCAACCCACTGACTGGGAGAAGATCTTCACCAAACCCGCAACTGACAAAGGTCTAATCTCCAAAATATATAAAGAACTCCAGAAACTAGACGTTAAAATGCTAATTAACCCAATTAAAAAATGGGGCACTGAACTGAACAGAGAATTCTCAACAGAAGAAATTCGGATGGCCAAAAGACACTTAAGGTCATGCTCAACCTCCTTAGTGATCAGGGAAATGCAAATCAAAACAACTTTGAGATATCATCTTACACCTGTCAGAATAGCTAAAATAAAAAACTCCAATGATAGCCTTTGCTGGAGAGGCTGTGGAGGAAGGGGTACACTCATCCATTGCTGATGGGAATGCAAACTTGTGCCACCACTTTGGAAAGCAGTGTGGCGGTTTCTCAGGAAATTTGGGACCAACCTACCCCAGGACCCAGCAATACCACTCTTGGGAATATACCCAAGAGATGCCCTATCATACAACAAAAGTATATGCTCAACTATGTTCATAGCAGCATTGTTTGTAATAGCCAGAACCTGGAAACAACCTAGATGCCCTTCCATGGAAGAATGGATGAAGAAAGTGTGGAATATATACATATTAGAGTACTACTCAGCGGTAAAAAACAATGACTTCTTGAATTTTGTATGCAAATGGATGGAAATAGAAAACACTATGCTGAGTGAGGTAACCCAGACCCAAAAAGATGAACATGGGATGTACTCACTCATAATTGATTTTTAGCCATAAATATAGGACATTGAGCCTATAATTCATGATCCTAGAGAAGCTAAATAAGAAGGTGAACCCAAAGAAAAACATATAGTTATCCTCCTGGATATTGGAAGTAGTAAAGATTGCTAGGCAAAAGTTTGGGAACTGGGGGGTGGGGTGGGATGGGGAAAAGGGGAGATAAGGAGAAAAAAGTGAGAAGGGGAGGATAGGGAGAACTTGGGGGAATGGGATCGTTGGGATAATGGAAGGATGAATATGGGAGCAGGGAAGTATATATCTTAATTAAGGGAGCCATTTTAGGTTTGGCAAGAGCCTTGACTCTAGAGGGGTTCCCAGGGGTTCAGAGAGATGTACCCAACTAGGTCCTTGGGCAGCTGAGGAGAGAGAGCCTGAAATGGCCCGATCCTATAGCCATACTAATGAATATCTTGCATATCACCATAGAACCTTCATCTGGCGATGGATAGAGATAGAGACAGAGACCCACATTGGAGCAATGGACTGAGCTCCCAAGGTCCGAATGAGGAACAGAAGGAGGGAAAACATGAGCAAGGAAGTCAAGACTGTGAGGGGTACACCCACCCACTGAGACAATGGGGCTGATCTATTAGGAGATCACCAAGGCCAGCTGGACTGGAACTGAAAATGCTTGGGATAAAACCGGACTCACTGAATATGGTGGACAATGAGGGCTGCTGAGAAGCCAAGGACAATAGCACTGAGTTTTGACCCTACTGTATGTACTGGCTTTGTGGGAGCCTAACCAGTCTGGATGTTCACCTTCCTAGACCTGGATAGAGGGGGGAGGACCTTGGACTGCCCACTGGGCAGGGAATCCTGACTGCTCTTTGGACTGGAGAGGGATGGGAGTGGGGAGTGGGAGAGGGGGAGGGAAAAGGGAGGTGGGGAGGAGGTGGAAATTTTTAATTAAAAAAATTTAATAAAAAAAATAAAAATTAAAAAAATTTTTAAAAAGTCTCCCAACCAAATATGTCCAGGGTCAGACAGTTTTAGTGCATAATTCTACCAGACATTCAAAGAAGAATTAATACCAATACTCCTCAAATGATTCCACAAAATAGTTGCAGAAAGAACATTGCCAAATTCATTTTGTGAGGTCATAGTCAGCCTGGTACCCAAACCACACAATGACTCAACAAAGAAATAGAATTACAGACCAATTTCCCTTAGAAGCATAAATGCAAAAATACTCAATAAAATACTTGCAAACAGAATCCAAGAACACATTGAAAAGATCATCATCCATGACCAAGTAGTTTCTATCCCAGTGATTCAGAAATAGTTTAACCAGACAGAAGGACTTCCCACACTATTTCCCCTTATATGTCTAATGAAAAAGAAATGTTTTAACTTAACATAGCAAAATTACATATAACAAAATAGTTATCAAGTAAGAATTATAGTTATAATATTTAGTCCATTTACTTGGCAAATTAAGGAAAATACTTTATCATCTATCCTATCTTTGTGAGTCTAAAGTTTTATATCTAATTTATCTCTTATAATTAATTATAACTATCTTTCTTCAATACCATCAAGGACTCTAGAAGGATATAATATTACCTAAGTAAACAGGAAGTGCATTGTAAGTAACTTCTAAAATTCTAGAATTGACAGAGACATCTGCTGCTTGGGCAGTCACCCAAAGTTCCTTCTATAATTTTGGGGCATCCATTTTCAGCCTACAGACCCATAATATCTGGCAGGATTTTCAGTGAATCAGGAAATTTGAAGATCTGTTCTACCTTGTACTGACAAAGTTCATCATTTCCTTTCTTCTGTGTCCTGTAAAATGTCTTACAGCCCTCTCATGTAGCAGGAACCTGGAAAGACTGTTCCACCTTCTTTTGCTAAGTTCATCAATAATTTTGCTGTTCATCCTACATGTCCAGTTTACACCGCATGCCATCAAGCAGTCCAGGCAAGAGTATTTTCTTCAGTATTGCTATAGGATAGGGTCATTTCAGGTTCCCTATCCTCAGCTGCCCAAGGAACTAACTGGAGACATTGCCTTGGGCTCCTGGGAGCCACTCTAGGTTCAAGTCTCTTGCCAACCCCAGGGTGGCTCCCTTAACTAAGAATTGTGCTTCTGTGCTCCCCTATCCAACCTTCCTTTATCCCAATCCTCCTTTTTCCCCAAGTTCCCCCCATCCTCCCCTTCTCCCTTTTCTCTCCCCATCTCCCCTTACCCCCATCCCACCCCACCCCCAAGATCCCAATTTTCTCCCCTGCAATTTTGTCTACTTTCCATAGCCAAGAGGATAACTATATGTTTTTCCTTGGGTTCACCTTCTTACTCAGCTTCTTTAGGTTCACCAATTGTAGACTCCGTGACCCTTATTTATGGCTAGAAACCAATTATGAGTGAATACATCCCATGTTCATCTTTTTGGGTCTGGGATACCTCACTCAGTATAGTGTTTTCTATTTCCATCCAATATCTTGCATATCACCATAGAACCTTCATCTGGTGATGGATGGAGATAGAGACAGAGACCCACACTGGAGCACTGGACTGAGCTCCCAAGGTCCCAATGAGGAGCAGAAGGAGGGAGAACATGAGCAAGGAAGTCAGGACCACGAGGGGTGCACCCACCCACTGAGACAGTGGAGCTGATCTATTGGGAGCTCACCAAGGCCAGCTGGACTGTGACTGGAAAAGCATGGGATAAAACCGGACTCTCTGAACATTGTGAACAATGAGGGCTGATGAGAAGCCAAGGACAATGGCACGGGCTTTGATCCTACTTAATGTGCTGGCTTTGTGGGAGCCTAGCCAGTTTGGATGTTCACCTTCCTAGTTATGGACGGAGTGGGGAGGACCTAGGACTTACCACAGGGCAGGGAACCCTGACTGCTCTTTGGACTAGAGAGGGAGGGGGAGAGGAGTGGGGGGAGGGGGAGAAGGGTGGGAGGAGGGGGAGAAGGGTGGGAAAAGGGGGAGGGAAATGGGAGGCTGGGAGGAAGTGGAAACTTGTTTTTTTCCTTTTCTCAATAATAATAATAATAATAATAATAATAATAATAATAGTAGTATTTTCTTGTCCAAATGGCTCACAAACTCCATAATAACATCCTTCGATGGCCATCATCCTCTTCAAGTAATTGGTGCATCCAGGAGCAGATGTGTCTCATTGTCAAGAATAGTCTAAGCTCTTAAAATATTTTAAATGCCATATCCTGTAAGTCTTTGAAAGGTTTGAAGAATACCTATCTATCTTAAATATATCTTTGTACATCTAGAAAACATAACCAACATGACTACAAGTTTGATTATTACAGAAAACTATCTATTTATCTATATTTCTTATCTATGCATTACATTTCTATATGAGCTGCACAAACACAATACCTTAAACAAGAGTAGAAATACATACACGGTATAACAAAATCAATCTTAAATATTTATCAATAGACCAGGATCCATACCCATGCAAAGTATTCATCTCTATATCATATCCCCCTTTTCTTTTTTTTAAAATTGAGTGTGACTCTTAATCACTTATAATCAACCCCCTTTAAATAAAAACAAATGTTTATAAACAATCATTTTTGAAATTTGGGCACAGTTTTCTCCAAACTGCTTCCCGCTGTACGTCAG